TCATCAGATTTGAAGTTCTTATAGCCATCGCAAATTACTCCCATTATCTTTGCAGCTCGTTGCTGGGAATCTTTGGACACACCAAGTGTACTCATCTCTATGAATTTAGACATCTTTCGAGCAACCTCTTTGTCCTTAACAACAGCCCATCTGATCAAACGAAAAAAAAAAAACACAAACGCAAGTCGAAAAACTTAATTTGACACTTTATACGTGCAATTTTCAAGTGGATCAAATAGTACAGATTGATCATATTACCCAATGCGTGAGCCAGCATGGCCCGTGCTTTTAGAAAATGTGAAGGTCATAATGCCATGATCAGCCGGACGAATAATGGGTGTGTACTGTGGCCAGTAGTAGGCAAGGTCATGAATGAGCTTCCCTTCATCACCTCTGTTTGTCACGACGGCCTCCCGGAGAGTGCCGTCGGGGTTATTTGGGGAGTTGACCACCTCAATGTAAGGTCCAGTTCCATTCTTATCAAACTCATAAGCATCACCTGCCCATTTGTATAGCCCTGAACGGAGGTAGTCCGTCTCCTCCGGATATGCCTGCAAGCAGCAAAACAATTCATCTTTTGTTTTTGACACAACTTGAGTTCGAATCAAAAGGAAAAGAAGTAATAACACAGAATCTAAGGTTGAACTGGAGGAGGTGGCTACTAATAAACTAGACATGCCCATGTTACTATGTTTTATTGCCAAGGATTCAAAACACAGTTATACGTGCATATGTTTGTTGCATGTTCCCAAACATGATTATGTTTGCCTCTTTGTCACATGCAAACATCTGCATGTTCCACAACACTCTTCTCATTTAATAATGTCACCCACAACTCACAAACTCGGATAACATATTTTTATTGTCAGACTGTGAATTTGATTCACCACAGCTTATAGCTCGACAGCAAAAGGCTTGATGGTCTCATTTTAATGGGGCCTTGGACATAGCTAACACAAGCGCTAAAACCACGCTTGATTTGATATCATTTATATAAGAAGTGAAGCTGAAGTAGCATTCTATTGATGAGCTTGTTCAGTTGACTTAAGAAAAGAAAGCCTACATGATTTTAGATCTGTATATTGACCAAGAAACCCAAGTAATCAACGGCTGTGATGAAATGTGAATGAGTAGGAGGCTTACTGAGTAGTAAGGGGCAGCAGACACAACGCTGACGGGCTCAGGACCACCAGGGGAAGTGAGAGCATACAACGCAGCCTGATAAAGCTGGGTGGAGCCTGTCCCCACTACAATATACCGATCATCCACCACTGCATTTCCAACCACACGATGAAGCCTCCTAACTGCCTCCTGAAATTCTGGCTCCATAAACCAGCAGACGGTGGTGAAATCGCTGATATAGCTCATCAATTGGCTCCCAGATATCACCATCGTACACTTGTCCTCCATCTTGTTCCAGTATGATTGGAACACTGATGGGTCACCCCTGTCATCATCAAATCCAAAACACCAACATCATGCATGTTCAATTGTTGATCACACAATTTTAACTAAACCCACTTGATGGATTTGATTAAGGATACAAAACCCACAATTATAATTACTTAATGTTTGCAATAAGAAAGATGGCAGCATTGGTAAGGAAAGAAAAGGAAGGCTGGCTAGAGAGAGGAGAGAAATTACTGTTCAAGATTGAGTACACGGTCAGATGAGCAAGTAGGGCTTCTAGTGCCATTGCCATTGGCAGAGGGCAAAGAGCCTTTGTTAATGGAAGCAGGGCTCTCTGTGTCGCACATTTTTCTTCTTCTCTGTTTCTCTAACAACACGCTTAATTATTGTTGTCTAAGTTTTTGGTGTTGCTCTCTCTCTCTCTCTCTCTCTCTCTCTCTCTCTCCTCGTCTGTGTTTCTCTTCACATATAAGAAGAAAATGTGAACACCTTCGGGGCATCGGGAAACATGTTGAGAGAGGTTGATGCATGCACCCTAATTCTTTTTTTTGTGTCTTGTTTGGTCATATAAAATCTGATCTCGTATCAAGCAGGCGTTCGTTCCTTTCTTAACGCATGGAAATCTCAATAATAACTATGACGGGATATTGATTACCTAAACAAGTTTGGGCGGGGATAATATTTTCTATATTTATCTTTCCATTTTGGAGGAAGTTTTGTATCTGCCCACTTTATAATTTTACTTTCCCTCAGACGATGTATGTGCACCAAGTATTTTTAACAATTATACCACCAGGCAACATAAAGTTGAGTTCAAATTGATCTCTATTATGTTTTTGTATACACATTTTTGGTAATTATTTTGGAGATTTTAACAATTATGGTAATTACTTTGTAGATTTTTATTGAAATATGCTGTTAAACAAATATCTTGGAAATATGTTGATAATCAATAAGATGCAAAGCAATCGAGAAAGAATTTTCAAGCGGTAGGTTACATGAGTTGAGGTTTTTCCCCTTAAGTTCTTAGATCATCTCCAGTCATAGGGCTAAATGTAGTCCAGAGCTATAAATTTAGCACTCCAAAATATTAATTTTTTAAAGAATAGTGTAGGGCTAAATTTTTCCATCTCCAGCCATGTAGGGCTATATTTTACGGCCCTTCATATTTTATTATTTTGAGAAAAACTATGGTACAACACTCATACATTCCACTACTATGTATTGTTTAATTTAATTAAACTACTATTTAGAGACAATATACCACTACGCTATCTTCAGAGACTTATGAAAGCCTTGCAAAGATGTTCATCTTCCACTCGTGACCAATTTCCTCCCCTCGAAGTCCAGGACATTTTTCAAACAATGTGAATAACAAAATAATTAAAGAGAATAAATTTGTAGGAAATGTTTGGATGAAATGAGTGTGAAAAATATTTGACAAAAAGAAAGAGTGGAAAGTTGTGAAGAAGTAGAGAATGTGATAGTATTTGTAAGAAATATGGAACCAAAAAATGTAACGTTTCAAATCCAATATATATATATATATATTTAAAACAAAACAGATTTAAATACATTTGAAAATGTTATTAAAAAAAACTAAAGGCTAGTTGACGTCAGCGCGCCTTTAATATTAGCCTTTGGATCTTTAGTTGCACAAGTTGTTAAGTGCTCACGCCCACTCGTGATACTTTCTTTTCTTGGAAAGCACATGCGCTGGGCCTACACAAAAATTTGGCATGGGCCTACACAAAATTTTTGATTGTTTAGAAGATATACAATTTGTTTTATAATAATTTTTCCATTTTTAAAATGTCCTTGAAAATAGAAAGACTAAATACCCTTAAAATTGATGGAAAATTAGATGATGTTAAAGTCAAATGACAAATCATGGATTTTGAAAAATTAAGATTACATTTCTCTTAATTTTTTTTTTTAAAATGACAAATTAAAATTAAAGTATAAGTTCAGGTGAAAAATTCAAATTATAAAATACAAAGGTGAAGCTTTGAGCCAAGGACAATTATCGTTGACTTATATTCATGCTTCACAAGAAACAAAAACCATCTGACTCTTTTAGTTTGTACTGTCACATAAACGAATTAATGCATGATGCATCATCTCTCTATATCAGGTCGGTTGAAGTTGTTTTTTTGATCGGATTTTGACTTGAATCTTCCATATATAAACATCTGAAGTGCCCTCAGATTACTATATTTAGATTCCTATCATTGATTGGGGTCAAAGTTTTCTGGTCTTCAAAGTGGCTTCTTACTTTGTTTAAACATGTATAAAAGGGGATTTTCCTTATTCAATTAGACTTTAGTTTTGTTTAAGAAATATTAAGTTTGGTCCCGCCACATGCATGGGGATGCATTGCATCAACAAAACATGCGTATATAATCCCATGTGCAACCAATGATGATGCATGTGGCACGTGCTAATTGATGATCACATTTTGAGCTCGAAATTCTATTATTATTATTATTATTTGGTCAAAGAGCTCGAAATTAATTTAAGGAACCCTATATATGTTCAATCCTTAACTGCATGATTCCATTGCAATAAAATATAATTGAGAAATGGGGAAAACTCCAGTGATATATTCAACTACCGAATACCGATCACCATTTTAAAAATTTTAAAATATATATATATACACGGTTGTTTTAGTTGATAAGAGAAGAAAAATAATAGCTGAAATGATTTTTAAAACTAATTAATTTGAAATTATTTTTAATTTCTAAAACCATTTATATGTATCTCCCATATTTAGGGATGACACTTTTATTTCTTGGAAAACTAGACCTGCGGGATCCCACACTGTAAACCCCTATTAGCATGTAAATTAACCAAAAAGATAAACATAACTATGTCAGTGTGAAGAGCATTAGGAGGCTTGGGCCTAAAAGGTGTCGTAGCATTTGTATGATCCACGTACGTAGGAGTTTAGAAAGAGAGGAATGGGACAATACTTGCATGGAGACCGTAATGTTTGCTAACTAGACCCAACAACAAATTTTTTGTTGAGATTAAAGTCTGATTTTTGACTTTGGATATAATTATAACATGTTGAGATATCGTATCATGAGTTTTTCCTTTTTACTAAAAAAAGAAAAACAAGTTGTTTATCATCTAACTTTGGAAATGCCAGAGAGTTCTGATGAACAAGCTAAAGCCTCTAACATCTCTCACTACACTACACAACACAACAAACTAGAAAATTTGTACCAGCAGGGAGGCAGGAGGGGTGGGTGGGTGGGAAAATAAAAAGGAAGGAAAAAACATCTACATCAGTTGAGGGAAGGTGAAGAAAGGGTACAGGTGCTAATTCAATAGCTTGCTTTGTGATTCTAGATTCTAGTTGTAGCAATACTGCATGAGAGTAAAGGGATGCTGCTGAACTAATGGTGAGTTTCGTTTGGTAAAGTCTGTGGAGTTTTTCTAAATACATGCTTTCTGCATCGTTCAAAAATGCTGTCATATATCAGATCAAATTGAACTCCTGCTCTCTCTCTATTCACAATGAAGAATATGTGATCAGCTTCCACAATCTTGTAGTACCTGCATTAATTAATCGATGCGATCAGCTTCCAACTTATCTTTTTCCTCACAGAGAAACAAGGAAGAATAGGTAGGGATGCTCAAACAAGAGGCATTACTAACCAGATGCCTGGTTGCAAGGGGTGGCAATCTGAATCATCTTTCACAAAACGGCTTGGGTGTTCAACTGGTATAAGCGGGTGAGTCATGGAGATGGTATTGAGAGCTCCATCATTGTCCTGCCAATCCTCATCCCTGCACATACATTATTCACACAAGGCTTGAGTAACCACATGCAAAATATGGATTGTGGTGAAACTACTGATGCTTAGAAAACCAAAGCATAACATGCACTTAAAAACACACCTGTAGCCTTTATATGGGGAAGAGACATCAGGAGGGTGACGCCATTGGCTCATCTGCAATACTCTAATGAAGAGCAAAGGGTGAATTCCAAATATGCTAGAAGGTACCGTAACACCCAATATCTTCTTTGTGCGCTTAGTGGCATAGCTGAAGTAGTATGTGTTGGGAAAGGAATGTAAATGGCTGTTGAGCCTTAAAGACCCTTGAATTGTAAGGTCCGGGAGGATCCAATCATCGGAAGCGAATGGGCCTGAGTTTCCCAGCAGGCAATCAACAAGACCCCAAACACCCACTTTCTTCCATGAGATGTTAAAGTGATCAAACCCAAAGTTGTAATAAGCCTTCAGCCAGGGAATGTCAAGCCAATCATAAATGATCACTCCTATGCGGCATAACTGCAGCAGACATATAGGTTTCATGGTTCTTCCATCTTCTGGCCTGAGACATACGGAAACCACAGTAAGTATTTTAGCACTCAAAAGTCTTTCTGTTGAATAACAAAAGTTTTTTTTTTTTAAATCCGAAAATATCAAGTACAATTTCACAGTTCAACTCTTGTAGCATGTGACTGGTTGGCTTTTGACAAAATAAACTCCAAAGATGATGTGTGTTTGCCTCTTCAGAGTGATATAAGTTAATGTAATGTAAGTTTTTGGTTACGTCGTTTCCTTTTCTGCTGCATATGCTATTATGGCTTATTATAAACATAAAACAAAGAGACAAAAAATATGAGGTCAGATAGAAGTTTCTATCTACTTTGCCCTTTCGGTCAGCCAATTGTCTTATCAAGCATTGCATCCGTCACAGTTAAAATTTGCAATAATTTAGCTAAAAAGTTTTGAACATCTAGAATAAGCTCAAATGAAACTCACTGCATCCCATCCAAGTAAGTTCTTGTTGTCCCATTGAATGCTCCCGACAATGATGTTAAGCTTAATACCCAATTCTCATTGGTGCTCTCATACCCCTTGAAAGCCTGAAAACAAAAGGAAACATTTCAGTCAAAATTTAAAACTACTGTCTAAGCCAATTTCATAGCTTCTTCATTAGTTTGGTGATGCAATTAGGACTAACCTTATCAGCAAGCATTTGCTGCAACACACGAACGACCTGTGCTCCGGCAGAATGCCCAACAAAGTGTATAGGATGATCCTCATCCCATTCAGGGTAGTGCCCTGCATCCCAGTTACAACAAACCATGAGAAACTTGCTAAGACTATGAGGCTTACAACACAAACAATTTTTATCAAATAACAGAAGGGAAAAAAATGAATGGGGAAAGCCAGAACCTTGTTCATAAAGACGACCGAACTGTGAATGCCCACAAGCCTTGCTGTGTTCTTCACCATAATCGACTCTCCCACCCTTCAAATAATAGAACAATTCACGAGCCCTGAAACCCCAAAACCCCCATAAAACCTTGTTAGCTCCAAAGGGTACAAAACAAAAACAGCTAATATTGGATAAAAGAAAAGCTATGGATGAATTTCAAAGGAAAAGGCTTTGAGGCTCCGAGCACAAACCTATCATAAACGCTGGTTAGAGATCCCAAATCAGGCACGAGAACCCTTTCGTCTTTCTTCTCTGCCCCGGCGAAATACGATAAAGCTCCCAATCTCTGAAAAACAGACGAAATGAAAAACCCAGTTACACAAAAATGGAACAAAATCGATTTGAAAACCCAAAATGCTCCACTTGGTTAAGGAATCAAAACCCATTTCAGAAAAAAAAAAACAAGCAACATACCCCTTTGCCAAATCCAAATATTCCATGAACCAAAACAATAGGAGGTAGACTTTCATTGGTTGATGTGTCTCTAGGCACCACCTCCTCTTTCACCTCAATGTTCATGTTAGGCTTAGAGAGCAATTCATTCAAAGCCTGCGATAGATCACCAGCCACAGCTGTGCTGAATATGTAAAACCCATATAGCATATGAACGATACTGCTCACAATCAGCTCCGAAAACTGCAGTGCAGCTATCCATAATCTAATCATTTTGTCCAAACTGGAAAACATTTATCCGTTTTTGCTGCTTCTTCTTGTTCCTCCCAAAAACAAAGCCTTCTTCTTCTCCAACCCAGAAAACAAAAACAACCAAGAAGGCTCCTTGTGCAGAATGAAAGCCTCAAGCTTTTTTAAATAGCTTGAAGCCCCCTTCTATGAAAAATCAATAGAAGGGGAAAAATCCCAAAACAAAGTCTATGAAACTCCGCGGGTCTTTGTTTTGTTATCCAACAAATGGGAAAAAAGAAAAGGAAAGAAAGGAAAGGACTAATTTTTCTATTCTTGAGGTCTTGGGAAAAATGGGTTTTGGCTTTCCTTCCGCTCGCCAAATTGCCACCACAATTCTCTCGTTTCCCACCTATATTCGTCTCACGCGAGTCACAAGACCCACAACCAATCAAAAAGCCTTACTGTTTCATTCCTTATTTTGTCGTTTGGAGGCAGACAGCAAGAGAGGCCAGAAAAAGCGAAAGCTTGTAGAGAGAGAGAGAGAGAGAGAGGCCTTGTTTGGTTTGGACTGGTGCAACGTGTCCTAGAGAAACTCGCTCCAAGAAATTATAAAAATCCAGGTGGAGCCCTCCAAGTGGACAGCAACATTTGCTCCTCTGATATAGCTAAAAATAAACAAAACAGGTAATATCTATTATCTAATAATAAAGATTCTGAATTTTAGATAAGGTCTTTTGTTCTAACTTACCCTACAAATTATATACAACAAATTTCTAGGCGTTTCTATTGAGGTCCAAGTGTGAGTGTACTGTGTATGTGTGTGCGCTGGACCTAAGGCTGGATTGGAAATTAGAAGCCCTATCTCTCTCTCTCTCTCTCTCTCTCTCTCTAGCGGACCAACCATAAACCGTGTAATCTAATAATATTAATGCCATCTTCAATTCAATACCCAAAAAAGACCCATATTTTGAATCAACGCGCTTTCAAAACGTAAGGTGGATGATGACACATGAGAAACTTGTTTCATATTGATCTTGATGGTTCTACTAGTATTTATATTGGCCTAGAGTGTGGGCATTTGGGCAACCACTTTTTGCAGCAAAGAATATTGATTGATTGAAGGATTCAATTTGGTGTCCACTATTTATTGTTGCCCACGCACGTACACATCTGCTAGCTACTAACTTCTCTCGTCGTCAATACTTCTTAACTTTTTTATATACCGATCAAGTTTTGACTTGCCTAGTCTTCACCATAAAATAATCAATGACGATGCTACTGCACAAAATTAAGTGTTGGATTTATAAAATTTTCTTCTGAGGCAAGATTAAGTTTACCTTAGCTGATTCTCTTTGAGGCATTTTATCAAACACCTACATCTATAAGAGCATCCCCAGCGCGCACAATAAAGCCAGACAAAAGGCCCCCCGAGACAGCCCAAGTCACTCCAGCGCAGCAGCCCTTGCCTCGGTTTGGCGTGGGTCCCACCAGCCCTGGCAAGCCCAAGGGCAGGTTTAGCCTGGGCTTCAGCCCGAGTCTTGTGACGTCAGCGCTGGCGTCACGCTGACATCAACGCAAGGAAAATCAAATTTTTTTTACTGTTGGCGCGTGAATTACACGCGCCAACGGTAAAAAAATTTGACTTCCGCGCGCTGACGTCAGCCCTGTCAGACTCCAACGGCTATGTGACACGTGTCGCAACCGGGACGCTCCGATCTTTTTTTTTCCAGAAATCCAACGGTCCTCGTTTTCTTGCCCAAAAAAATTGCAAAAAATATCGAAAAAATTCTGAAATTTTTTAAAAAAAATACCAAAAAATTCTGTATTTTTTCCCTATAAATACCTAACCATTTTATTTACTTTTCACACCAAATCTTCATACAATTTCTTCTCCATCCAATATTTTTTACTCTCCACTCATATTATTCACTTCCCACACCAATTCTCAATACAAACTCTTATCCTTCCAATATTTTTTCCTCTCCACTCACATTTTTCACTTTCCACACCAATTCTCCATACAAACTCTTCTCCTTCCAATATTTTTTACTCTCAACTCACATTTTTCTACTACTTTCCATTTGTATAAAAAAAAAAAAAACAAATGACATCTTCTGTCGAAGCCGGAGGCTCGTGGGCAACTCAGGAAGATATTGCGTTGTGTCAATCTTGGGTGAACGTTAGTCATGACCCTATCACGGGTAATGAGATGAAGTTCCATCATATGTGGAGCAAAATTCATGGAGAATTTTGTCAAAGATCGAGTTCCATTCGGACCGAAATGGCCTTGTCTAGTAGATGGAAAATTCTGAATAAAGAGTTAGGGAAATGGAGAAATGCCTTGACAAAAGCAAGGGAGAACATTCGAAGCGGTCAAAATCTATCCGATGAGGTAAAATATTTATATTTGCCATTTTAATCAATTT